GCGTTTTAATTTTAATTCTGAAAACAAACAGTGAAATGGCCATTGTCCAATTACTGGTTGGTAAAAAATATAAATTTCTATTATTGGACATATTATGTCCAATATCATACTCTATTTATATACCAAGCATTTACCAGTTAATTCTTATGTAAAATTGTCCCCTGAATCCGAAAAGACCGTCAAAAACTATAATAATTAAGCAGTTTTTGATATATAGTCAATTCCATATTATACGTAAAATTTATTATATTTCAAAAACTGTTCTACTTTTATAACTTTTGACGGCATTTTTGGATTCAGCGAATAATATTTCATAGGAATTGACTGTTAAGTGTCCTGGATACAAATTGCTGTTATTAGTGGCTGCTTTTTTGCTATGACATTTTTGACTAATTTTTAGAGAGTAAGTAATATAGTGTTTTCTTCGTCACAGGACATCTTGCAGAATAACAGTGATTTATTTATCTAATGGCCAACTAGAAAAAGTTTTCTTTTAAAATGTCTTTAACTGGTTTAGATCAAATACTGCTGCGCTTTAAAAGATACACTTCAAATTTGGTAAACCTTTTATAGTTTCCATTTCAATGCCCCCTGAAGCCGCCCCTGCGTGGGAAAGTGTAGGGCGGCAGCAGTAATTAACAGGCACATTATTTATCTGTCAATTATCCGAAGAAGTCGCTTGCAACGGAAACTCACTTAGCTTCAGTGTTCGCAAGCGCCGATATCGGTTTAAAAGCGTGTTTTTTCTAGTAATGACACTCTTATTTTTATCGAGCCACAAAACGTACCACGTTTCGAAGGGCCCGTATCATTTTACTCAAACGAAGTTGTAACTTTGATGTTGAAGGTAATGTTTTGCATAAAAATATCCATATTTTCTTTTCATCACCAACTTGACATCTCATATTATACAGCAGCATGTTACTAGACCCTATTCATTTAAATTGAATAGGAAAAGACAATAATAAAACATTAATGAAGGTAGTATTTTCCTCAATGCAGGGTTTGAAAGAAGAAATCATTTCAATAAAAACAATTAAATTAAATTATCTTAATTAAATTATGTTTTAAATTGATTCCCTAGAAATTGAACCATCCAGAACTTTCAAAACGTCAAAATTCCCTGACAGATGTTTCTTACATTTTGCGCCAAGCTGTACATCTTAAATATCAAGTCGATGTGTTTCATCATAAGTTCTTTCAATGCAACACTTAATCTAATTGGGCCACAGCAGAAACGTACAACACCGAAGTTTAAATGTCTGTTTTGCTCTTAAAAAAAATAATTGTATTTTTGAAGTTTAAGTTTTGTTTTCTCTGCTACTTACTTCTTCGAAGTAAACACATTTGTGAGATGTGCCACTAGACTTAATAAGTCACGTAGTTTCTGTTTATTAATAATAGCCCGCAATTCTAGAGTCGGATTTGAGTTTAGCACATCAAAAACCTTTGGAAAGCTGTAGTCTGATTTAAACAATGCAATGTTTGTTCCAAATATATAAATATATATATACAGAGTGAGTCATTTAACTTAATACTTTGAAATATCTCAGTTAGTATGCATTTTACGAAAATATGTTAAAAAAAAAAAAATGATTCGAGGGGGGAAATCAATCAGAACTAAAATTGGTCCTCATACTCTCCTCCTTATAGGGGGAACAGGGGGTAACTTTAAAATTCCAATGGAACACCCTATTTTTTTATTGCAGATTCGGATCATTCGACTAAAAATAGGTATACCTAATCTATAGTCTAAAACATTTTTTCATATTTGTGATAGATGGCGTTGTAATGAAAAAAAAATAATTTTGTTCGATTTTTTTTCTGTATGCGATTCTCTTAGCAGTCAATTGACAAACCAAACATTTTTAAAATTTAAAAGTAATACAAACAGTATTTGCTAATTTTGAAAAAAAAGATGAGGCACTAGCTCATTGAAGGCAATAAAATACTAAATTTATTTTAGGAAATATTTTAACAAAAACAATGAGTAACTGTAACAATGTAATAATCCAAAAATATTTTACTTTCAGGCATTTCTTAATTCTTACTTCTACATTAGACTTGGTAACTAATATTAGAAATTGTTAAATATCTCTGAAATTATTAAATTTAGGTATCCATAATCCACACAACAAGGTCTGTTCTATCTCATGCTAAAAATACAAAAAATTACTGCAACACTGCACAGAGTTTAACGGCGGCTATTTGTTTACAATTCTTGTGCTTTGGGTTTGTACTGTTTAATAATTGTTTTAAACGTTGTGCCAAAGAGGAGTAAAATGGTTGTTCTTAGCACTTTAAAGCCTTTTTTAAAGCTTACAAGTGACTTTGTAAGAAACACAACGTTTAAAACTATTATTAATCGGTATAAACAGAGCACAAACCCAAAGCACAAAAATTGTAAACAACAAGTTAAATTCTGTGCAGTGTTGCAGTGATTTTTTGTATTTTTAGTACGAGATAGAACAGACCTTGTTGTGTGAATTGTGGTTACCTTAATCAATAATTATAAAAAAACATACAGGGTGTTACATTTAAAATAAAAAAGTTATTACCGTTTCAAGTTAGCCTAATTTGGTATGTTTTTTCCCAATTAATTCGTTGAGGTATGTTAAAGAATTGACATGAAATCTTTTAAACAATGTTTTAAGATTCCACCCCCATATGCGCAAACATAATAACGCCAAAGTTATAGGCTATTTTTGATTGAAAAACTCGAAAACTATTCACTTTAGGTATAGTCATTTTACTCAGAATTTTATGTAGAATATAAAAATGTAAGAATATATGAGGTGTTCTATTTGAAATAACAAAGTTGATGTCACTTACAGTATTAGGTTCAAAATATTTATTTGTCACTTTGCTCCAAAACGAAAATAAAGGTAGTTTACTCTTGATAGTATTTCATGTTTTCTTGTTTTTCGACCCCCCTGTATAACATTTTCAAATTTAAAGTATGGCAATAGACCTTTTAAAATAAGCAGAACTTTTTATGAAGAATGACTTTTGGTCGAAAAATGAAAAGTTTAGTCCATTTGTTCTGTTGGGCTCTCTATACTTGGACATACTATATATGGTAAAGATGGACTCTAAAATAGCAATGAGATACAAATTCTATGTAAAACCTTTTTAAATGTTAACTAATTCAATCATTGTTTGGTCAGTTTAGAATAGGTAATCAAAAAGCAAGTTAGCTGTGACATAACAGCGAAAATAGAATCATTAGGCGTCGCATAGGCTTGGTTAAACGGAATCGCAGTAGGCTAAAAGGCGAGAGTGTTTAATAAAGATGGAGATTTAGATAACGGCTAACTAGTGAAGGAATGTGTGGCAACGACATCAATGCCTCGATAGCTGTGAACGACAGTATCAAGACGCCATCGCCAGAAGTTGCCAAAGCCATCTGTAATCCTAAAGGATAAGGAGGCAGTTAGTAACATCCAGGATATACGGGCTCAGATAAGAATTGTAAATACGGACCAGTCGGCATCGATTCGGGTGCAACGAAGAGGGCCTTTCTCGCGGATTTTGTCCTTAATTTACTGCAAGGGCTTCTTGCCTGGCCAAAAGTCCAAAAAGTCAACTTTATCCGATCAAAAAAATAATACAATGTAAAGAAAAACCCTTAATTTGGAAGATTCCGAAAGAAAAAGTTAAAAAACATTTTATTTAAAAAAGATACAGCTGTTTAAAGTAAAGCAATACGAAAAAAAATCAGATTTTAGATCTGAACGGAATTTTCTCTACCTATATCGCGCTGTTACATAAAAAAATATTAAAAAATATGGCTTAAATTAAACATGTATGTAATACGATATTGTATGTTTTGTAAAATTATTTTTTTATTGTAACTAAGTATAAGTTATGCGGTTCAAGTTGGTCCAGAAAAATGTTTGTAGCCCAAAGAATAACGAACAAGGCTGTATATCGCTATTGATACATCTTTTAACACCTAATAAAGTTATAGTGGTTTATAAAAAGCCGCGCGCTAAGAATTTTGTTTTTAAAATTGTTGATTAGCTATAGATTGTGCTCTTCTTAAAGCGCTCTTATATCTTAACTATAATAAATATATGATCTATTGTTAATTTTTTAATATTGCATATAAAATTATTTAATAATAAATTTTGTTATGAACATTTTCTTTGTTTTTAATAAATTATTAGTTTTTTAGAACAAATCATGTAGCTATTTGTTATCCTTTACATTTTACTACTCCGAGGTAAAAAAGTTTACAGTAATAAAAATGGGGTACCCAAAAAATGAGCATATGAAAAGTTTTCCAAAATTGTACCATCTTTTTCTTGCTCTACAGGCTCAGAAAAATTATTTTCGATTAAAAGCGTGAACTTGTGAGTCAATATATTTTCAAATAATTTAGAAACCGAAAATAACAATCTAACAAAAAATTGTTTTTACGAAATTTTTATTTATATAAGAAACTGCAATGATCATTGCCATAAGTTACTTTGATACAGAGGTATAAAATTACAAACATCAAATTATTTTTTCCCATGTTAATTAAATGGGAAACTAAAATAAAAACAGCGACCTCTTAGAGTTGAGCTGGAACGCCCATATTTGGTGGGGACAAAATTCCAAAGTTAAAAAATTGTAAAACTATACCAATTTTTAAGGCATGATTTTAAGGAAACGGTTCATCTGAGGAAAATTTCACTTTAACCTTTTTTGTAGAGCATTTAATTTTCTTAAAAAAATATTTTCGAGTTAATTTTATTAAACTCAATGGTTTGAGAGTTCTGAGACAAAAACTTGCTGAGGAAAAAAAAATTAATAATATTAATATTATGGACTCAAACTTTCACAATAATTTTTTGTTGTCACCCCAAACTATATTATCGATATACTTTAAAAAAAAAATAGTTGATTTTTTTGGCCCAGTCTAATATATATATATATATCAGTTAATTTCTAACAATAATATCGAAAATCCAAGGCTTAATTATTAAGGTCACAAATTAGTTTTGAACAGAAAATATGATACATTACATATATTTATTACAAATTTCCATTTTCACAATTTATAATTTACATTTTTATCCTCTTTTCTAAACCTTATTTTTTCCAGAGCCTGTACAGGAGACTCAAAGGCCAAAGTCCATAATATAGAAACCAAAAATGTTACTACAAAATTGGTGCACAAATATTGAACCTTAAACAATTATTATTAATATAAATATAATAAAAAACACTAAATGTTACCATAAAAACCTCAGTGACATAAAAAGGGTTTCTTCTTTGGGCATAAAAATAGAACATTACCAATGGGTGTGTTAAGTACATAGCATAATTTAGTTTAATGAGAAAATTGAAGCTTGGAGCCGACAAAATTCTATTTATTATACCTAAAATATTAAATATAAAAAAACACAATTTAAATAATATTTAAAAGTAAAATCAAACCTCCATATCCATTTACACAAAGAAAAATCAAAGTACAGACAAATAGGCACCAAACTGGCCTTACAAAGCCATTGTACAAAGTGCTGTAAATGTATTTATTCTGCGAATCTGATTGGTCAAAAAATCCCGCTGCCAGTCTTTGATGAGAGGCTATTATTCCCAATAAAGCGCTGATTGAAAAAACCACTAAAAAAATTCCTAAAACCTTAAAAATATATTAGTAAGTTATGTTTTAGTTGAACAGTTTTTACCTACCCTATGAATGTACACCTGTTGATTCCTTTTCCTAAAAATAATATACCCAAACATGGCTCCAACAAGCCAGGCATTTCCCCTAATGTATGTGGGAATAAAAACGCTGAATTTCTGATCAGTGGTGTTGCTACATTTTAGAAAGTATTAAAATCGTGTTTATAAAATTATCCGCAACTTACTCCAATGTGACGTGCAAATATTTATTCTGCCAAGTTAACGAAGCTGAATAAATACAGGAAGCAATAGTGCCAACCGACATTACCAGTAATGTACATTTTGGAAGTAGTGTTAAAAAGTAAATTAAGATTGGAGCTAGGACGTAGAGCTGCATATTAACAGCAAGAAACCATGTGTGATTAAGACACTAAAAATATTTAATTTACAAAATTTATTTTTATTATTATGTTGTACTTACACAATCCTCAGGTTTAATATAGGTCTGAAGGTATAGTAAATTATACCACCAGTTATTTCTGCAGTTTTTCTCAAATTTGCTGGTTACTGTATCATTCCAATATGGCCCTGTGGCAAAAGTTTTAAAAAGGCAAGCTGACAAAAATATTACCATTATCAAAGATGGCGTTAATCTACAAATTAATTTAATACTCATACTTTTACCCTGGACACAATTTTTACCTTAAAAATCTGTGTAAATAAAACCTAAATAAATTAATTTGATCATGTTCTTTAGTATACATATAAAGATAAACCACTAGTAAACCACTAACAGCAAAAAATGTATCTACAGCAAGTGATCCCCCCAATATGATTGTGGCATTCCATTTTGTAATCATCTAAAATAAGTTTTAATAAATTTAAAGTATTGTTAAATATTTCATTATACATCTTCATATTGTTTAACATTACTAACAGGGAAGTATTGGCAAAAATAAATGCAAGTATGTGTCAAAACAATCCAAAACATACTGATAACTCTTATACCATTTAAACACCCCAAAGTCTCCTGGTGAACTTTTGTACTAAACAGTTTTTTACCGTTCGTATATAAAGAAAACGCGACTAAAATTTGACAACCAAAACCTAAAATTAAATTTGTAATACAAATATTTAATAATTACATTGCAATTTTTACTTTTATTGGCTTCGGATGACCATAAATCATACAAAGTACTGATGGTAATTAGTAAAAAGAACAACAGAAAAACATATCTAAAAAACAAATTGTTGATGTAGAAAAATTGGTTTTGTTAAACTCTCAAATAAGCATAATGTGATGTAGCTAAATATGAACTTACATAGCTGTCAAATTTTCATAAGACAACCTATTAACACTTTCCTTCGTGTAACACATATCATCATTTATTTGTAATCCCCTTTGTAAACCCAGGATCATATTAACACCATTTAGAATTATCTGAACATTATTGGAAGAACAAGTTGATGGTAAACAAACTCCATAGGAAGGTTTTAGGGTTAAGCTATCAATTTTCTAAAAAATATAAAACATAAATGTTATAATTAAAAATAAATACCTTATACTTTAAAATCGATATCTATAGGTATTGTACAATATTTCCCACTTATTTTTCCTGTTATGTTAAGGCATTGGTCAAAATTACCCATGTGGTAGAGATTTCCATTTAGAATACCAGCTTGGGGTTTAGCCCAGGCATCTATCACTACAATAAATATTTATTTTTAAAGTAATATTATCATTATAATGTCTTTACTATTCAAAAGTGAATCGTCCAGTCTGGAGAGTGTATATAAATCTTGTATACACTGATTTACCCTTACTTCCTTGACAACCAAATTTAATGTTTTCTCTATTTTGGCCATGTTTTCTTTACTTAAAACAAAATGGTCCACCATAGGTAGTATTTGTTGCAATAATGGTCTAAAGGCTGATAGTTGGGGTAAAAACATAAGCAGCTGTATATTTTGCTTTGTCACCCATTGGGGTATAATTTTCATTACGTATATTATTCGTTTTTGTAGTTCTTCCATTGTGTCGTACAAATTTTCTTCATCTGTTTTTTCTGTGTTGACTTTTTTGCTGCTGGGAATAGGTAGCAAATATTGTTCTATTTTTGATGGTGTTGAACTTTCAAAATTTGTTTTCTGTATTTGTTCAGTAGTTGTTGGTGATTCCTTGGTCTTATATTTCTTTAAAGCATCTTTAATGAATGTTTCTAATGGTACTGAGGTATTGTACTTTTGGGTGAGGTTTTGTATAAATTCAACGTTTGCAAACGGTTTCAGATCTCTTAATCCATTTTCTTCTGCCCATGTTTTGACCAAATTTAATTTATCAGCTGTTATATTTTTGAATATTCTTTCGAATAATTGGGAGGAACCATCTTGAAAACTAAAAAGTAATACAAATATTATTAAACGCATTTTTACTAGTACCTACTGGTTTTTACTGTATAGCTTTCAAAACAATTTTTTAACTTGATAACATTTTTATTGATAAAAAACCAATTTAAAATATTAAAATTATACTTATTTATATGTCCGTTGATTTCATATTCATTTTTAAAAATATTTTGAAAAAATATCAGTTTTCTTTTGTCATTAAAATAAAAAGTTATCATCATTTGGCAGGTTTAAACGATATGGAAAAAAATGGACTAATTAGAGATATTAATTAATAAAAGTAGAAAATTAATAGTTTTTAATATTATTTTGATGTTTTATAGTTTTTTTCTACTCCCACCTTTAAAACGCCCTTTATCGTACATGTTTCCATGACACTAAGTGACCTTTTAAATACACATTGACAAGTTGTGAGATTAAAAAATCGCCGCGGCTGGCAAATATAACATAACCGTCGCAACAAACAGTATACGTACTACGTATTACGTAGACACTTCCCACATTACAATGATATTTGATTTGATAATCAATATTAATTATTAAATTAATTAATTAATTATTAAATGTGATTTCGGATAAAATTTAATATGCACCTCGGCATTAAAATAATTTTTTATCACTAACGTGGTTATTTGCCACAGCTTTCGCCTCTGCAAATAATTTCCAGATTCGTGATAAAAAATACGACTTTACTGCCTTGATACATAAATAACTATTTAATGGTAGTGGGGTTTTGATAAAATTAAAAAGTGTTTATAGAAGAATTGTTCATAAACTTTCTTAAAATATTTCATATCAAGGTCAAACTTTTTCACTTTATTATTGTTTTTTGTTATTCTACAAATAGCATGTGTCAATATATGGAAGTTTTGTTAACATATAACTTAAAACAAATATTTACTACTAGATTTAAAAACTTTAAGCGTTCAGTGAAGTATGTTTCTTATGCGTTTTCCAAATTTTTCGAAGTTTTTAAATATAAAGAATTACAGAGAATTGAACTTTATTTCTCAATGGATGTGGCAATAAAACTAGAACACAACAAGAAGTTTGCAATTTATTTAATGAAAAATATCCATCTAGACCTATTCCTCGTGCTACGGTTAGTAAAATTAAACGGAAATTCAGAGAGGCTGGACATTTCAAAGATATTCCAAAACTTGGCCTTTAGAGTCATCATAGGTCCTTTCTTCTTTAACTAGAATATGACAGGACAAAGGTATTTGGAATTTTTGCAAAACTCTCTTCTTCCCACATTAGTAGAAATGTTTCCTAATGAGAATAGAGGTCCCGATCTACAAAAAGTACTTTTACATTTAATAATACCCAAAACTATCATCCCAAAAGGTATACATTCAGAATTTCATAATCTATTCGAATTTGCAAAAAAACGAAAGGTACAATTTAAAAAAATGGCCCATTTTTTTGGGAAAAAAGGCACATTTTTTAATGAATTTGTTCCATACATTTGCCGGTCACCGCATATGTAATAAACATTTGTTATGTCATAATCATATCAAAGCTCTTATTTAATTTTATTTATGTTCATTGGCAAAATGAATAATTTAATTACATTTTTTAAATTTATTTGAACAAAATCATGCAACATTTTTTTATTCCAATAAAACATATTTAATTAAAATAGTTTATTACAAAAGGTAATACATTAAAACGATTGGAATTGTTAATTTTAGTTTAACAATTTTAGATAACACAAAATGTACATACATATTTTATAAATAAATAGTTCTCTTTTAGGGGAATCTCTTCCAGGGCAAAATTTTTACACCTTTAAATCAACTTTTTTAGTTAAACTCTCTAGAATATGCACTAGTTTTTATTTTAATATCTCTTCTCTGGAGTTTGAAAACAAGAGAAATTGTTATAACAATGTTGAGTTATTATGTGCCATAATTTGTGCAATTTCACCATAAAATATTATATTAAAAAAGTCTCTAAAATACTCATTTACTTTTTAGCACCAATTTGTTGAACAAATTCAAATAGTTATGAAACCAAATCCAACAAGTTTTTATCTGTGTGGTTTTATATTATTATCAACACGCACTTAAATTATGGCAAACGATTCCACACAATCTGCGGGCCAATAACACTTAAACGAAATCATTAATTTACCGATAAATGGCCGTTTGCGTATGAATTTTGTACGGCCGGCCCAGTGGAACATTTTAATAAAATAATAATCGTTAAGCGCAAAGCCACATTTAAAACATGTGGCGCAGGCGGCTTTAATTTAGCAAATGCATTTGTTCTGCAATTCCACGTATTTAAGAGATTTTATGGTCTTTAAGATAAGCCCCGTTTGTTAAAACGTTATCGAGACCGCTTTATTCGATGAAATGACCGTTTTTACTTCAGTTTCAAACGCAGTTTCCTCGGAAGTATTTTTACGTGTAAATACTAAACTTGGACGTTAAAATGTTGTTACACAGTATAAAATTTCTGGTAAAAAACAACACCATAAGTGGTCTATATAGGTCCACACTAGAAATGGTATATCTAACCACATACAATTTGTTAAATTTAACCTCTTTTTAATTGTTTAATAATCTACACGTACTATTCGTAAAAAAAAACTCGTAACAGTGCAAAAATCAAATATAATACACTCTTAGGGATAAAAGCTCAATTTGTTGTAATTTACTACACATGTAGGTTAGGGTGAGCCAAAAAATCTAACCTATCGGATTTATGGGTTAAAATGAACCTACATACCGAGCAAAAAATTTCCCTGCAAGGCAAAATTTTTTGCTCAATTTTAAAAGGTGTCGGTGAGCATTCTAAGTTTTCCATTGAAATAACACGTAAAAAAATCTTTTTTCATTAAAAAGACTATAACTTTTGAACCGTTTGAGATAAAAATTTTTACGTTGCGGATTCTTGTAGAGCATAAAATTTCCCAAAGAATCTATACAAGGATTATTTTTTTTAATTCAAAAATTCGTATGTTTGAAAGCTTTGAAAAGTGTAAAAAATCACTAAAACTGTAGTTAAAGTGATTTTTTACACTTTTCAAAGCTTTCAAACATACGAATTTTTGAATAAAAAAAAATAATCCTGGTATAGATTCTTTGGAAAATTTTATGCTCTACAAGAATCCGCAAATTAAAAATTTTTATCTCAAACGGTTCAAAAGTTATAGTCTTTTTAATAAAAAAAGATTTTTTTACGTGTTATTTCAATGGAAAACTTAGAATGCTCACCGACACCTTTTAAAATTGAGCAAAAAATTTTGCCTTGCAGGGAAATTTTTTGCTCGGTATGTAGGTTCATTTTAACCCATAAATCCGATAGGTTAGTTTTTTTGGCTCACCCTAATGTAGGTGTTACGTGTAGGTGTTAAAAATGGTGGGTGTTTTAATATTAAACACAACATGTAATGTAAAATAATAGTATATTATGTATCAAGTTTGATAAACGCCATTTTATACACGAATTTAATTTAGGCACGAGCTAGCTTGCGAGCGAGTGCCTAAATTAATGAGTGTATAGAAAAGTTTATAAACATGGTGCATACTATACTTTTTCTACGACAAATACTTATTATTATCTTAAAATTATTTAAATCAAAAATTTGTATAGAGCGCCATCTATGAAACAATAGGGGAATCTGTGTGTCACGGTCAAATGTCAAATTTTTATATTTTATGAACACAAATTATAAAGGTTATAAATCGAAATGTATTTCTTGAAAATTGACAGTTTTTCACAGTGAAAGTAAAGAAAATGTTTTATGAGCACTTTACAGTGGAGTCCGTGCCCGAATTTAAGTTATAGTTTACTGCCGGCGAAATTAAAAGGTCAGTACAATGTTCATATAAACTTTTCAAATATTGGCGTTGAGAAACTATTTAATACTTTTGTATTTTTTTATTAAGATAATAAAATAATTTTCACATTTAGTATTATTTTACAAGAAAGGCACTTTATTTTAACGATTGTATGACATTTGACAACTGTCAACTAACTTAAAACTAACTTCAGCCCGTAACTAAAAACCTGTTGCTAACTTCAGCTCGTGACTAAAGCGCTATGAAGCCACAACTTGTCAATGTGTATTTAAAAGGTCACTTGGTGTCATGGAAACATGTACGATACAGGGCGTTTTAAAGGTGGGAGTAGAAATAGTATATTTTATATTATTTACAAACTATTAGATATGAATACAAATGGGCTTTGACATAAAATTTAAAAAAAAATATTAACACTACTTAGGTGTAAGTATTCTTATTCCCAAAAAGTGTTAATTATTTTTTTTAATTGAATGAAAAGAAGTAATATTTTAAGCTTTTTTTCAGTTTGTGCAAAACCATATATAAGTTAAATATGATTTTTCACTATCTATCTATCACTTAAAAATAACAGATAAAAAAAAGGTTTTATCACATAAGTTGCATCCACTGTCACATTGCACCACTTCACCAGACCACTGAATTTTAATTTAAAAACCATGGTCTTAAATTAAAAGAGCATGCATAGGTACACTACCATCAACTGCACTCGGAATACTGATCGCGCCCTTGCCGTTAGCGAATGGTGATGACTACGTGACTTTTTTTACCACAATTTGTTTAGCTGTCAACACATAATAGTGTCAAATATACACCGCGACGAGTTATGTTAAAATTAACACTAGATTGACACGGTGCTGTGATAAATGAATTTAAATTAACAGGATTGAATTTTACCACAATTTAAAATAAACACTTAATATTTTTTGACCAATTTTAGTGTATATATTAACACCAAATGATTTTACATATCGAGTTAAATTTTAAAAAATTAAAATGTTCATACCCTTGTAAAATTATACTTTATTAAACACAAAAATGTTTTATATCGCTTTTTGATGCATTAAAAAAACACATCATAATTAAAATCTTCACCATCCACTAAAGCTTTGTGCGCACAAAATCCCATTTTTAATTGCAATGTCTCGTTAGTTTTAATACTCGCACTTCAGTTTTTGCGTTTGTACCGGTTAAAATTGAAGCACTTAAATAAAAATTTATTCGTAAGATTAATCTTCTAAAAGCATCGTCATTTCAACTGTAAATGAAGCAAACATCACTGTTTTTACTTAATTATAAATTTATTATTAGTTATAAATATTTAAGATGTTAAAAGCGGGATGTTTAGGGTTATTAATTTTTAAGAAGGCATTTATTATTTATATTTTTATACTTTTTTTGTAGTTTAATTTTTAAAAGTACTGTTAAATAGCAATTTTTAATATCTTTTCAATAGGGTATCACAAAGAGGATGTTGCCATTTAAAAATCATATATGAAGTCATTTTTGTGGTTATAGTATAGTATAACCGTTATACTCACATATCTTAAAAACATTTATATCTTTTTAGGACTTGGACCACGTTTCTTGTTTAAAATAATAGTTGTTTTTAATTTTTTTTAATGATTAATTTATTTTTTACTCGTTTAGTCTTAAAATTAATTTAAAGTATTGCTTCTCAAATAAATTTATACAATATCGGTTATATATATATTATATACATTATAATGCCAAACAACTTGGGTTGGGTTTCAATATTGGACTATGCTAGAAAAAATCTGACGAAAGATATATTGGCCCAATATTATTACGAATATTGGGCCAATATATCCCATTGTTTTTTCCCTTAGAATTATCCACATATGATATGTGGATAATTCTATGTGACATATCAATTGATATATATAATAAAAATAAACAAAATTCAAAATAATAAACTTAAAGAAGCATAAGAAAATATAATAAAGAAGCAAAAAAAAATAAAAGATATAGAAAAAGGAACAGAAGAAAGAAATTAGAAAAAATAAAATATTAAATTATAACTGACGACAATTTATTGTAAATATTAACAAATAAACAGATTTGTAATTATAATCTTTGAAGATATATATTTAAACTGACCTGTGGTGTAAGTACGCACCATATTTTGGTCCTTCGAACCGGATTTGAATTTACCTTTATACAGTCCATGAACAATACAATAAATTAAATGATGAAGCAAATAATTTAAAAATTAAAAATAATATAAGTTTGATGAATGGATCACCTTTGAAAACGTTGTCAAATTAAAGATGCTAGGGAAACTGTCGAAATCGAAAAGTTTTACCACAAGTATCAACAAAAGGATTTAAGTGTTTTAATAAAGTTACCCCCAATTAAAATGCCGAATTTTGATGGTAAATAACTCGCAAAAAATGCAATATTTAGTAGGAAAATTAAGTGGCAAGGCACTCACTGTTTTATCAGGAATTCTTCCTAATGAAGAAAATTATGTAACAATCTGGGATTGGGACAAATAAATAAATAAATGGGTCATTTTCAAGAAATACCCGCTTTCAGAAAAATGAAGATCAAATTTTTTTTGCTGGATTTTTATAAATGTTTACAGTTTTGTTTACTTACATTTAAGACAGGCAGTGTACTTATTAATTTTTTTTACGTTTTTTTCAGAAAAATGTGTTTAGCTAGCTTTATATATCTCCACCGTGTTACCAATTTGAAATCCAAAATTTAATTCAATAAAAAAAGTTGTTCTATAAATAATTTGATAAACTTTTGACTCCAATTTTTTATTTTATTTTTTATTAAAAATTAAAAATTGTGTATGTATATTTATGTTCGTTAAGTTACTTTTTAAAAGAAACCATTCCGATTCTTTGTTAAAAAAACAATACCATTAATATTTTCTTTTAGTCACTGTATTAGTGAGTTAAACTCTAATTTATAAACACGTATTACCAAGTGATAGTGTATAAAAATCATTTTAAGTATTTTTTTTTAACAAAAACTAAATAGGTAACGAAATAGACATTGGTATCACAACGAACTGGGGTACACAAAGGACTTAATCAGATATCGTAAAAAAGAAACTATATAGGGTGCTGCGATTTTAGAGTTATGCATAAACAAAAACCCTTGTGGTGGTGCTCACTTGCAGAATAACAACTTAGATTTCTAAATTGCAGACACCCTTTTTCTTTGACTATAAGCTGGTGAAGGTTCCTTTTAGTACTTGTATATTGCGTGGAATTTTCCCTTGGATGTAATCTATATCATGAGTTGTAATCACAATTAATTTTAAATTGGTTTATTAAAAACTTATTTTAATAAAAGCGACGGTAAATATGCACTTTGTTGTTGAAAAATTCTATTGCGTTACCCTAAATTCCATTGCGTTACCATAAGGCAACACAATGGACTCGGTAACGCAGTGGAAAAAGTTTTGTGAAACCATATTTAAAAAGACATTACAGTCATTAATTACTCTCAATGAGCTTTAGTGCCCTAAAATAAACATAAACATGAAATATAGTATTTTTTCCTATCTTATTTTTATTATTTTTTTTTGAGTAACTTAGCGGACAAACAATTATTACATTCGCGTTACCCGCACCTGTTTCAACCGATATCTTCTTCCTGATTAAATAAATAAATTCAGCTGGGTAATGTGTACGTCCGAACATCATTTGTTGATCACGTGAGTGCCAAAAAAGTTGCCATATATATGTTTTTTTTAATATTCTATCGGTAACGGGACGGACGTAACGCAACGGAAAAAATGTCTGGAACATGAGTCAAATTTAAAAAAAGTAGATTAAAATTAATTAATTTATATGTAAATTGTTTATTGTATTAACTAAGGATGTTATGGATTGCTACACCGAAAAAAATATATTCGTTGAGTTAACATTTGCCTAAATGTCATTTTTGAAAATGTTGTTTCAACAAAAAACCTATTGGATTAATCTATATTTTGGTGTCAAAGCAATAGTCAGAGTTTGTCAAAGTTTATTTGTTCATTTGACAATTTAAAATATTGATCTTACATGAACTAATTGTTTGAATTAAAGTTTTTATCCTATTTTGATTTAATAGCTGGAATTGGTTAAATCAAATACTAAAATTGTTGGGATTACCTAAAAAAACTATTAGATTAACGTTTAGTTGCTGTTTAATCCACAACATTAAATTTGTTCATTTAACAAATTGTAAATGTTATTTTAAAATTTAAAATGTTAAATTTGCATTCATAAAGTTGCCTTAACACTCTAAGAATGTTAAATTAACAAAATTAGCAGATTGGAACAAATATCCTAATTTTGTTCATTTGACTGTTATTTGTTGTTCAATTAAACAATACAATTTGACATTTTTAGATGGTTAAGTAAACGTGCAAAAACCATTGCTTGTATTTAAAGTGCATAAAGAGTTGAATTAATATTTTTTTTGTTGTTTCAACAGCTTATTTTTTTCAGTGTATAAAGCAACACAAAGTTCTGGTTATTACTATAAAAAAAGTATTTAAAGTGCTCTAAAGTCCCAGAAGTCAACGGAATGGCTTGTGCGGGTTAGGGGTAGGAACGTACCGCGGGCATAAAGTCCCCTAAAAACTAAAGACCGAAAGTTAATGATTTTTTGCTTATAAATATCTCAAGTAGGAAAACGAAGGCATATATTCGCGGAATGCTCTCCCTTCGGTCGGGATTAGCGCGCGGGAGAGATAAAGGTGAAGTTCGGGCGCCTATTCCGTCCGTCGAACAGTGAGGCAGGGCGGTACCTTGCGCGCCGCATCTCTGAGTCTCAGAGTCTGAGAGCCGTCGCGGCGCATACCGTATCCGGCAGGCGTCCAGACCGCACGCGGCACCTCCGCACTCTTCCGCCGAACCGCGTACGCAATGGACCGACTCAGCGCGCACCCCCATGCAACCGTTGTGCTCGAAATATAAACAATTCAAAGTGTGCACATAAAAACAGTTTACCATTACAAGTGTAAATACTACTAGAATAAACAATTAACACCTAAAATGTGATAGGTTTAGCTCAACTCGCTCTATCATCCCAAACAACCATGGAGCTGGATGGGGACTCTAGATTCCTAATAGGCAATGATACTTTCAACTTAACCGAAACCTTCGGTGATTTTAACGATACCAACGACTTCTACAACGTCTTAGCGCCGTTAAATGTCGACCAATACCTCGACAAAATCGTCCTAATTAACGATACCTACTCGGTACATAAAAGTGAAGTTTTCAACTGTACTATAAGTTTAAACGGGACCACATACAATACCACCTGTGATGCTGGTGTTTTTGTTGATGTGTACAGAAACTATTGGGCTTTGCTTTTGGTTCTTTTCCCCATTTTGACGCTTTTTGGTAACGTTCTAGTTATACTGAGCGTTTACAGGGAAAGAACCTTGCAGACTGCTACGAATTATTTTATCGTAAGCTTGGCGCTGGCTGATCTTCTAGTAGCGGTGGTCGTCATGCCTTTTGCTGTTTATGTTTTGGTAAGATATTTGGTAGATTTAATATTATTTAAATATTTCTATTAAATTTAATTTGTACCTAAATCATTTTTATCCCTGTTCCACTATATGTCATTTTCTTTTTTTATGGTAAAAAAAAACCTAGTTCGTTGACATTTAAAACATTTGTACTTGTTATAAAACCATTACAAGCGTTTTTTAGTATAAACTTCTTAAAATTATGTTTCAAATTTAAATTTGGCGCCTCTAGTATGTACTTTACCGCAATTTTTTAACGATGTACATAACCTAAAAACACCTATAACTTTTTTTAATGTACTTAAACCCCTATTATAGAATGTCTTAATAGCCCATTAAATGAGAGTCTATCATAATAAAGTAGAAAATTAACACTTTAATTCTAAAATGTTTTGTATCTTTATGCTGATTATACAGGTAATCAGTTGTTTGTGACTTTTGCGGCCTGTTTCAATTTTTGGCAAGGTTAAATTTTCAATTTAATTTAATAATTAAATAATACACAGAAACTTCCAATTGATAAATATCAGATCTGTCAGATATTCAAGGCAATAGTTGATATTGACTAAGAATTGCCATGTATCGCATTTTTATTGGGTAAAAATCTGTATCGTAATGAAAAAATTTGAATCCTACTGGATATCATTATAGAGCAGTTAGGAAATGTCTAATAAACGATTTAAAGTAAGGGAGTAAAAAATGGTATAATATGTATCGCCATTTTATTAGGCACAAGCGAAGCTTGCAAGCTAGTGTTTAGTAAAAACGATTGTCTAGAGAAGTTTATTATGTACTTAAAAATGGATTAATAATTAATGTCAAAAAAACTGTGCCAATTCTCCTATGGAAATCTTAAGAAAGAAATTTAAATCAATAATAATTTATTTAATTTCTCGAATTCGTCAAAATTTTTAAGAATGATCATAGATATATCTTTTACTTTGGATAAAAACATCGATTTTATAGCTATGAAACTAAAGAAATCCATCTATTAATTATATACCCTAAGGGACAAATTAAATATTTCAGCTCTTCTTAATGTGTCCAAATATTTTGCAAATATTTAAGTTTTAATACTTTATCCTTGGGTCTTGCTAGAAATAGTAATAGAATTTTTATCTTGCAAAAATATGCCATTATCTTGCTAGAAATAGTAATAGAATTTTTATCTTGCAAAAATATGCCATTAGGGTTATTTTTAATCGGGAAAAACAAGATTCTTGTAGATCTACAAGAATCTTGTTTTTTCCGATTAAAAATCTATGTTATTTTAAAAAATTATGGAACTTTAACTTTTGTACGTGTAAACTTCTTTGTCTGGTACATAATAACAAAATAAAACTAATGAATAAAAATTATCAATACACCACCAGATCTAAGGATAAAATCCCCATTGAAATTCATTGGCATTCAAAATATGAAAAGTCTCCTTCGTTTGAATTCGCCTCTATAATAATTTTTCAATTGGTCTAAGATAAAAACCCTTTAAATTTAATCATAAAATCTTTTTTGCAGTCTTCATGCTGTTACACGATAGAATAATTTAAGTAAAATATTGTCTATTTTGTTTTTTAAAGTAGAAACATGTCATGTTGTTGTTTAGAAGTCAATTACCATTTTTTGTTGTAATTCTGTAATTTTAATTGTAAATATTTGACTTTTGACTAATTTAACCTTACTTTTTTGCAATTTATAATAAAGCTAACTTCAGCCCGTGACTAAAACGCCATATAGCCACAACTTGTCAATTTGGTAGTAGATAAAGCATAATTATGCTTGGTTGAAAAAATGTAACGTTTTTAAATTTAAACAACTTGTAAATTCGTTTTTTGTCACTCATTGAATTTAATCCTAAAGCTTTTAATCCCTTAAGAGTCATTGAATAAATACGTATTTTGTTCTACTCTTACCTTTAAAACGCCCAATATTGTACATATTTCCATTGCATTAAGTGACCTTTTAAATACACATTTACAAGATGTGGCTTTATGGCCTTTTAGTCACGGGCTGTAGTTAGTTTTAAGTTACTTGATAGTTGTCATATGTCATACAACCGTTAAAATAAAGTGCCCTTCTTGTGAAATAATACTTAATATAAAAATTATTTTATTATCTTAATACAAAAATACCAAAGTATTAAATAATTTCTAAACGCCTAAATTAAATTTGTGTTTAAAAGCGTTTATCAAACTTGATATATAATATACTAAATTTAAATATGCGAACCAATAAATATTTAAAATTTAAAAAACCTACAAATTCACATAAAAACACTGTTTATTAATTTATTTAGTAATTTAAAATGTCCTTGATTGAAAATATTTTGTATTATAAATTTAATCAAAATAAAATTCACAACCTACCCAAAAATTTAATCTGCATGTTATTAATTTATATAAAAACATCAAAGTAAAAACTGAATATAATAAATGAATTCAAAAAAGCTTTTGAAAAACATGTTAATCAAGCTTATTTATAAAACTTTTTAAGTTCGCAGAATTACTAAATAAAATTCTACAACAACAAAATATATGCATGTTATAGTATAACATTGTAAAAGTTTTCCAAGGCATACCCACTAAATTTCTATAACCAAAAATGCGTGGATTTGATTGGGAGTTAATATTAACCAAAAACAAGCAATAAACCTGTTCTTGTTAACAATAAATCTCTAGCAATTTTCAATTGAAAACGAACGTCTGGTTTAAAACAAACAAATCACTTAAATCAACATTGGACGTTAAATGAAAAAGCCTGCTTTCGAAAGGTATTGAATGGCTTCGGCCTTTGGATTAGCCATAAAATGGAGATGTTTGCTTTTTTGAGATATGTCGCAAAATTGGAATATTCGGATTTGTATTTACGGGTCAAAACTAACCTCTCAAATGTTAGTATTTCTAAAACACATTTTACACAAATTTTGTCCCAATCAATATGGTGCTTTTTAAGTACGTATTACACGATATTCTAAACGTACTTATTAAAAAAATATATATACATTTTTAAACGGTAACAAGTATTTTTGTAATGCTCGAAGTATTACCATTATTAAGATATACATACATGTACCTTTAGAGAAAAACTCTAGTTTTTTATTATACTTTTTAATTGCGATTATATGCTAAAATGTATTTTTAATCTGAAATAAAATGCTGTTTTAGTATTCAAATTACCTTTAAAATTACTGTATAAAATGTAGACGTATCCATACTGGGATATTTTCATTAAAAGCTTGAATATTAAAAATCCTATCCTTACTGATAATTTTATCGATCCAAGCTTTAAGCTTAATAGCCTCAAAGAAAAAAGTTTCTATTCACTTTAAAAATGTACAAAAGTAAGTATATTAAAGCCCTAATTAATCAAGATTAATTTGTTAAGTTTTGAAAGTTGACACGTCAACCAAATAATTGTTTTCAAGCTGGTACATTAAAGGAAAATAAAACACATTTTTGTTGATTACTTTAAGAATATCCTTGCTCCACTTTTAAAAAATCTTTTTGTCATACATTCATTTTTAGTATTACTATTATTATTATTATCATTTCTTTCGCTCACTTTTCTCGTCAACATGGCAATTTAATTCATGTTTATGGCTTTAGAAGTTTGGAGTTTTGTAATTATTACGTCTAAAAAGTTTTTGGTTTCAAATCAAATTGTAATAGCACAGATATTTATTAATCTATTGAAGATACGATTTTTTTGATTTGTAATACATTTTATTGTATATATTGCATTTAAAAGAGGATCGTTTTATTAAATTGAGAAACATCCGTATGATACAGACTCTTTTTATTTTCCATAAGTACCTAAATTCTATTATCACTTGATGGTTTTCTTTTGTCAAGTTTACTATGAAATGATGCCATTTATTTAAAGAATATAATTTTAAAAAACTTCTTTTTTGTTCTTTTTAATAATAAAAAGAAAATAGAATGTATTAATCCCGGAGCATTCGCCATTTTTGACAAAATAAAATTTGTAAAACAATCTTACTACAAAATGTTTGCTTTTGTTTGTTTGCATTGACAAAAAGTCTTTTTAATAAACTTTTCGTCATATTAATATAAACAGGGTGTCCCAGAAGTCCCGCACCACCTTAAAGGAATCATAGAAAATTATTAAAAATTAACTTTATTATTTAAGAATATAACTCTATTATTTAAAAATATATGAGAGCATAAACATTGAGTTTTAAAATTAGATTCTGTCAAAGCATTTCTGTATAATATTGATATGTATTCCTTTACTGAGTATTGTGATATGTATGTTGTATTTGGAGAATGCTTAAATAATGCAAGTCATTTAGTCTGTGTGTCAATGTTATGTTAATATTTGTTTAGTTTTTCTTCATAGATTTATTAATTGCTTTTATTAGTTCCTGGCAAAGACTCTTTGCTTCTCTCAAGTATGACGTAAAATGGATTTGTTAAGTTTACCATGAAATGATACCATTTATTTAAAGAATAAAATTTTAAAAAACTACTTTTTTGTTTTTTTTAATAATAGAAAGAAAATAGAATGTAATAATCCCGGAGCATTCGCCATTTTTGACAAAATAAAATTTGTGTTAAACAATCTTACTTACAAAATGTTTGCTTTTGTTTGTTTGCATTAACAAAAAGTCTTTTTAATAAACTTTTCGTCATATTAAACTAAACAGGGTGTCCCAGAAGTCCCGCACCACCTTAAAGGAATCATAGAAAATTATTAAAAATTAACTCTATTATTTAAGAATATAACTCTATTATTTAAAAATATATGAGAGCATTTATGCTTATAAACATTGAGTTTTAAAATTAGATTCTATAAAATTAGATTCTATATAACTCTATTATTTAAAAATATATGAGAGCATTTATGTTTATAAACATTGAGTTTTAAAATTAGATTCTGTCAAAGCATTTCTGTATAATATTGATATGTATTACTTTACTGAGTATTGTGATATGTATGTTGTATTTGGAGAATGCTTAAATAATGCAAGTCATTTAGTCTGTGTG